TTCCGGCCAAGAAAGCGCGCCGGCGTGCCGTTACACGGCGCAGCGGCGCCGCGCCGCCTCCGCCGCACTTGTCGCTCTGTCTGGGTCGGAGCCACCCCCAGCTGCCCCACCGCCTCCGCCGCGCTCAGTCGCTCCAGTCTGGGTCGGCGCCGCCCCCAGCTGCCCCACCGCCTCCGCCGCGCTCACTCGCCCCAGACTGGGCCGGAGGCTTCCCCAGCTGCTCAGCTTCAGCCAGATTTGATGCTTGTTTGTGTTTTTGTACTCCGTGACACACTGTGCTCCAAGGGTATGACGTCAAATATCTAATTGTGTATGGTAGTTCGAACTTTGTTAGCGCATGACGTCTTGTGGACACTGCAGAGTACATAATTTTGCACTTGACCTAGCAACAATCCTCAGTCACCGAATTTATTGGGTACACAATCACCAACAAACACCAGCGTGTCCGGTAACGCTTAGTGACGAGCATCCGAGGGTGCGCGGCCGAAGTGGGCTGAGGCAGTGTCGTCACACCCAGCCCTCGTCACAGCTACTCAGTCGTCACCAACTCAGCCGATGGGTCGCTGCATTATCAAGATCGACCCTTTCGTGGGGAGACGCCATCAGAGTCCAGCCCCCCCCCCCCCCCCCCCAAAGCGCAACCCGGAGGTCAACAATAGCCAACACGGCTCACAGCGCCCTCTGCAAGCCGAGAGAGCTCCGCCCTCCGCCTGGAGGCTGTGCGTTACAAGTGCTAGCTGACGAGCTTCCAGGATAGCCCGCTGCTTTCAACGCAGTGAGTTTTATCAGAATCTACATGCCAATGACATTTCCATGGCGTCACCAACCAGCGCCAGTTTGCAGAATCGAACACATCAGTGAAAGCCGACTGCCAGCTGTTACGTCACGGGGAGGGACGTCGCTCTGCATACGCCCACCATGAACGGTCATGACAGAGGACTTGAGCCTGCAGGTTTTGTACTCGAATGTGTATTCACCATGTCCAGCACTGATTGGAAGAATCCTCACGGCTGGAGGGTTCCGAGAATGCGCCGCAAGTCATGTTTCGAGAAGCGTCAGCATTAGCTGCACGACTTCCTCGAATTTAACGGTGCTCAGGCTATGCCACATGACGTTAGAGACTGCGTTTAGGTGTAGGCGTGGAGGGAGGCTCAATCCGAAGTTATCAGGGCGGAAATGAAGGACTCGGCAGTGACGTCACTGCGCCATTGCCGCAGACGAACAAAAACAAACTCGGACACACACTGAGCGTCCATTGTCGGCGAAGGATGCTCGATGATTGCAACCTGGTGAAGATTGAAGCGGACGGCTTATTTATTTCAGGGAAGTCCGATGTACACACGTTTGACTACAAATCCATCTCTCTTTGTCTAAGCTAGGTGGCGTAGATTTTGCTCGTAGAATGGCATGGCAGATTTCAACGGTGTGGGTCATTACGGCGCAATTCTGAAATGGCAAGTTAGCGTCGAACACTAATATGAGCACTAAATCGAACACGTCACTAATACTTTCACGATGGTTTTTAAGATGGGGTCATACGATTTCGATTGCAGGGGGTTTATTTCACTAGTCGCATATCGTACCATGGAAGTTGTGTGAAATGTCTCTTTTATGTACTGATGATGTCGGCGTGCCTCTGGTGTACAATGTTTGGAAAGCGGTGACGTTCCTTGCGTTGTGGTGTCCCATACTTTACGTTGAAAAAAATAGATGAACTCCGTTGATATTCTATATCAACACAGCGAAAATGACAACCGCACCATACCACGCCCCCAACAAATGGCCAAGGTCATAAACGCTGAATTCGCTGTGGTGTACAACCATCAACGCATGTACAAAACGTAGCGTATCTAATAAACATTGTTGGGTTTTCGCGTGAATCTTAATCGGTTGATAGTAATATCTATCCTTGACAATACCTCTGGTTAGCAAATACAAAGCCACAAATGCATATCACAAAGAAAACCCTGTGAAGCCCCCACGATTCCGGTGCTGAAAATGTTTCCATTTTGAGTTCAATGCAAGCACCGCAGCTGGCACTCCATGCCTTGAGGCGCCCTAAAACTGCCTCGATCGCCTTCCTCGGGATCAAGAACAGTCGTTGTTGATCTTGCGGCTGGCTGCTATCATCACTGACGGCGACCTTTTGCATAACGCTGACAGCGGCGCGAATGTGTCAACATTTACTAGGTAACTTCACATATTCTTCCTGTACACTGCTTGTTGTCAAGGTGTAGCTGTTTTGTGAACGTCAAATGAGCACCACACCTTGGCGAACTGTCATTGGTGCTACGGCGCGGAAGTGATCGTCAATAGGCACCTGGATAACTTGCAGATGCATCGCTATGATCGGACTGCGACCTACATTTTTGAGATGGTCACTTAGAAAATTGACAGAAGTTTCACTCGAGCTGACACGTTCAACGTTTGGGTGAAAACGTAGCCCTTCGGACACTGGCCTGCATGACCTCCCATCGGCTAAAGATGTTTCAAGCGGACTTTGAACAACACTTGCTTCGCCTTCTTTGGAAACTACATTTCTGTAGGCGGTGAATGGGGAATACCCATTAATTATAATTTGAAACACGGTATTCCATATTTACCGAGAATATTTTTTTATTGCTCTACGACCACCAAGCTGTGAGCTACTTGAACGCTACAAACAATTTGAAGTTTTGAGACGATGCTCACGGACGCGACTGAATTTACGCAGACTCTTCCCACCAAAAGATACGCAAATGATCAACCTTTCAAGCTCTCACATCCAACACCCGATGCAAAGTGCTATGCTGAGGGCTGCTCGCGATACAAAAGGCTGAGCCTTAAGGTCTCGATGACTCCTGTTGAGCATAAGGTTACAGTTTCCAGCATCACAAGCGTAGTGAGTTCAGCTCCCACATGCCGGAGAAGCAGACGGAGCGGCCGAGTAGCGTTCCGATGACCCGTGCTGCGCATGCGGTTAGAAAATGATTTGCTGCAGAACATCAGTGTTCAAAGCAATGGCAGAGCGCGTGTGAAGCAGACAATGCTGTCGTCTATAGTCATAATCTGATGTGGGGTATTACGGGTATCAGTATAAGGTTTTATTTATTATGGGTTTTATCATTAAACGGTGCAAGACAATGCGAGCCTAAGGATACTAAAGTCGCCTCACATCTCCGGTTTTCTTCCGAGGTTGAAGACACACACATTGTCTGGGACGTGCTTTGAAGCGGTTTTTGGAACGCGTGTTACTGATCTTATACTCATTGGGTCATCAATATTTTTCGCTTTGCGTTCTATGTCTTGCCCAGCCCTTGGCATGGTGAGTACCGTATGTCGAGCGTTGCGATGTGAGAGCATTAAAGATTGAACATCTCGGTACCTTTTATTGGCTGAGTCTGCACAAATTCCGGCCATTTTTGTTTCTTTACGGACCTTAGTTTTGCATTTGTTATTGTTTAACCTTGTTCCCCGTGACCATAGATATGGTCTCGGACCGTTGATTTTCTTGTAATGAACACTGATGATTATTTGGCAGCATCTTCAAACGAGAACCTCCTAATATACGGATTTAGTGAAGATCGGTTATTTTCAACTGAAAAACTGACAACGCCGAAGCTAGTGGTATATTTTAAGTTAATATCTAAGGTTACATTCAACATTTCATGCGAGTCTAGCTGTATGTCGTTCCTAGATGTGGGCACAATGACGAGTTCCCAGGAAGTGCCTGATTTAATCTCAAACCACAATGACGTCATTTGGAGCTTTTGAATGCAACAAACCTGTCTCTCCAAATGCAGAGCCGCGCAAGACATGCAAGGGAACTAATGCGAAACAGGACTTTTAAGGATTTGGATCCAACAAGCTCAGCGGTTTCCAGTGTTTTGAAATGAGAAAAGTGTTCGGCTTAGCAGAACAAAGCTTTAACAAGTTGAAAGACACCTTACGACATACTAAACCACGGTGTAAAACGCGGTATGACAGATGTAGTCGCAGCTTTCATTGAAATTGGATTAGTTCTAACGTTTCGTCATTGCACGCCTTAATCCAGGCAGCAGCACATCAGCTTGTTTAGCCGCTCCACCCGTGGGATCAAAAAAGGCCCAAGTACCGAACACGCGTTGTCTATCATCCGGCACTTAAAGGTTTCATTAAGGCTTTGACATTCATTGTTTGACGCAATACCTTAGGCCGCAATATCTTGACAGCACCTAAATGGCTGGGACAACCCAAAGACACTCTGCTCACTTTCAGCTGTGCCGATGGCCACCGGGTACGGTGCATCGCAAAATGGCCGAGCACGTAGCGGTACTCTTGCGGGCATTGGCTTATGTCATATTTGAACGGTCAATGTGCACTTCACACGTGGGTTTTCACCACTCGAATCAGCACCAGAATGACAGGAGCTGCTTGGGGCAGGGCTACTAGTTATCAGGCAGGTAAAGGTCCCAAGAGCGTTGAGGCCGCCGTGCCAACAAACCGTCTATGCTCTCGTTCATGACCTGTAAAAGCAAAGCCTTACTTCTGACGCAGATTTGAACGTGCCGTTGGAAGCTGATAACACCGGCAACTCCTGATACCAGGATAGGAGCGACATCGCGCCTCACTCCGTGGAGCCTAAGATATCAGGATGGGAGCGACATCGCTCCTCACTCCGCGGAGCCCCAGATGTAAGGATGGGAGCGGCATCGCCCCTCCCTCCGTGGAGACCGCAGCCTCGCTCCACGGGCGTGTCGCCGCTCTCTTTCACGCCCGTCATTCAGACACGGCCGCCGAGCGGTGACGTCACGTCCCCTCCCCTCCCCCGGGGCCGGGGTCACCGGAGCCGGCGCGACGCTGCCCAGAACGTGACGCCACGCTTCCAGGAGCCGCCGCGCACCTCCCCCGCCCCTCCCCGGGCGCGGCAGCCCGGGACGCCGCGTTTATTTTCACCGCTGATGTCACGCTGCGGCTCCACGGCGTACTCCCGCCGAGGGGGAGGGGCGGCCGCCGGCGCGGTCCACGCCGCTCCAGCTCACCTTTGAGCAGCACCGGCTCCCGGTTGTCCTCCAGCAGTGCGCCCAGCACCATGAAGAGCGGGTGGCTGGGCGGCAGCAGCGCCAGATCGGCCGTCGACTCGTCGCAGACGATAAACTCGCGGATAGTGCGCCGCCTCAGTAGGTCCTTGCCCTCCTTGTTGGCGGCCAGCTCGGCCAGCGACGCCTTGCCCAGCTGCAGGCGGCGCCGGTTGAAGCGGTCCATGCAGTTGAGGTTGATGGCGCCTTGGATGTGCGACGTGTTGAACGCCATAAACGGACGCACGTCGAGCAGCGCGAACGTGCTGTTGCAGCCGGAGGCCAGTCGCTTGGAGAGTTCGTCGCCGCTGCACTGTCGTGTCCGACTCAGCACCATCGCCTTCTTCATCTCGGCGGCTTCGGCGCTTGGCGAAGCCGGGAGCGAGACGACCGGAGGCCGCGGCGCCGCCGGCGGCTCTGCCGTCACCGTCGCCGTCCCGCTCGGCGCACTGAAGCTGCGGTAGAAGCTGAGTCGGAGGCCCTCGCGCTTGGCATCGCCATTGATCATGACAGTCGGGCAGCGCGCGCTCCCACCTCGCGACCCCGCACCCACCCGCTGACTGGCGGCGTCCGCTGACGCCGCGCCGGCCAGCGGCGGTGCCAGGCGGACGCCAGCGAGGGCAGTCAGCTGACGACGCAGAAGTCAGCTGGTGATTCACTGGGGCCTGGGAGGCGATACGCGTCTGGGTGGTGGTGAAAGGCCTGCCATCTATCGGTCACAAACTAATCAGGAGACATGCCATTTAGCCAGTGCCTATTCGCCAGTGTCTTTGAACACATTTCCGGAAGGCATTAGACTCGGCTCGACCCATTGCATTGGGAGTCACGCAGAAAACCTCCGCCAATATTGGTCTCGGCAGAAAATTCGTCACTGTTCTATCGGATGTCATGCATGCAAGGATATCAGATAAGAATACCAGAGAACGGTGGCCCTCCACTCGAGGCAAAGGACCATGCGCTCTTTCCCGGAACCATTCTGGACTCCATGGTGTGGGTCCTGCGAGGATGCAAAATGACGACTCCATAAAAAGTTTGAGCAAGGTTTCCGAGCGAGAAAGCATTGAGACCAGAAACACCAGAAGCGCCAGGGAGATCAGGGCCAGGAACGAATCGGTTGGCCCCGGAGGTAGGTACTAGAACGGCAAGTGGTTTAAAAAACAAGTGTCCCCAGAAGTATCAGTGGCATCCACACTTCAAAGACATCAATATTGCAAATCCCAAAGCACTGGGGTGCTCCGGGAAACACTGTGGAACCTAATAAAGCGTTCAAACTTCTATGGTACACCGTAGCCGTTTACAACAACAGGGGTCTCAAACATATCAGGACGCCCAAAAATGCTTGCAGTCAAAGAAGCAGCACGGCTGTCTGGCAGGAAAAGGTTGGATTATATTCCAGGAAATCCGTCTGACTACATTGTGCCTTGCCAGCTAATTGCCGCACGCTCTGGATGCGCTACATTACGCAAGCAGTTAACTATCGGCACAACCTTCACACGAATCTTGGGTGGGTCGGTCACGCTCACATCGGAACATTCGCGAAGACAACTGACCTTGAAAGTCAAATCTCACCCCGGATTTACCCGCCATATTTTGGTGGTGCATTCGCATTTGTACATCCTTTTACCAGGGTTTTCGTGTTGTGATCATTAAAAGTCAGCGTGAGTGAACACAGAGACCCATGTAATTCAAAACCGACGTCAAGTAAAAAACGCCATTTTTACTGTGCACTTTTGGCTTTCTGGATGGTCACCGAGTGACCAGTACCGCGTCCTTTCTGGTGTGGGACGAGCGAGGTCATAAAAGACGTGATTGTTATTACGTGCAGATGATACGAAAGATGCTGATGATGGGAAGGTCACAAAGGCACGGCGATAATGACCGATTTGGTGACTGCATTTAGAATATCTTCTTTTTGGAAGAGCTGTTGCTTTTTAGATGCTGTAGTTTTTCGCTCATGACTGTAGCGAACGCATCACAAAACGCCCATGTTTTGGGTAAATGCCGGTCACAATAAACTGGGCTGTGTGTCTGCACAGGCTTCACCTGTCTTTTGTTATGCCACAGCGTGTCGCAGTGTTACGACGTTTCGGAAAAGTGATATTGGCAGCTTTCCAATCTATTACCGGCGCATATATGGCTAGGGCAGTGTTAAGCCTGAGATCGTCACGATTGTGGGCAAGCGTTCGTCTAATATTACAGTTTGTTTCCCGTCTCTGCCTGCTCAGATTACTGAGATCCAACACCAACTTTTACTTAAGTCTGAAAACTGGCGGATCCATGACCCACGTACGATTACGCGTGTTTGCACACATTTACCCATTTTTTGTCATCACGATTACCGTTATCTTCTCTGTCAGCATACGGCTGATCTCGCTGTGACGCCGGGTCACCGAGACCTGGATCTGCCTTCAAGGCTAAAGACCTGCCTATTCTTAGCCTTGTCGCGGCGTGGAAATTTTATATTTTCATATCCATTGAATGGGTAGGTGAAAGAGTGGGGATGTTCAAACGCAGTAGAAATATGCACCAGATCAAACAGCCGCATTTAAGTACCTTGCTAATTCTGCAGCATAACTTTGGGAGAGCTGTAGGGGCTTTTGCTAGGATTGATGTGGCGGTGCGATTATTGGTGGCAAACAAAAAAGCCCATCAAAAGCGTTACTGGTTGAGACAGGCTGTGATGATTGAAGGTCTTAGAGGGTTATAGACCACTCGAGTCTCTCTTCGTGTACAAGAGGCCTGATCCAAGCACACACACCACGCACGCATGCACGTACGCACGCACGCACGCACGCACGCACGCACGCAACACGCACGCACGCACGCACGCACGCACGCACGCACAACACGCACGCACGCACGCACGCACACACACACACACACACACACACACACACCACACACACACACCACACACACACACACACACACACACACACACACACACACACACACACACACACACACACACACAGCTCCCAGAAGCTCTTTTGACCAAATTGAAAGGCAAATCCTAGATTCTGTAATATCACAGGTCCAAGACACAGTGATCCGGTCCCAGGCTGCATTTGTGAGATCTATATACCGTAAAGGCACAGCTTATTGGTCTGACGCATTTGACAAAACCCAGCAGTCTTTGTGCCTAGTGGGTTAGCATACAAAGCTGTTATGTACTTACCGAAAACATTCCCAATCCTCGTTGCATGCATTTACAGCAGGACATACATAGTGCTCAAAATATTTTCAAACAGCATCACCAAAACTATGCATTTGAAAATTCAAGGTTTTGACCATGAATGAATCTTTAAGTACGCCAGCACTACGCGTCTTGCCGCGAAGACGGGCAAGGTCATAACAAGCGCCATTTTCATTACCATATAGATGACACGCGTCGCGAGTAGATGGAGTCCGTCGCCCGTAGGGATCCATGCAGATAACTTTTGAATGCGTCAGAATATTGTTTTTATCGGCTTGGCAGTTAAAGGCGGGGACTCGTCTAATATTAAGTGGAGTGGCAACACCCGCCCAGTCGAGGTAAGAAAGTGCACACAGCCGGCTGCGGGGAGGAAACTATAACTGGGTAGCAATCTTTCCTTTGACAGCAATATGACGTCAGATTTCGTCATGTCACCGCATCCCCCGGTCAAATCTAATTTCACATTGAAAGCCAAATTTCCTTTGTTTTGTTCTGTTTTTTGGCAGATCAAGATCAACAGAGTGATGTAGTCAGTGGGATCGCCAAGGAAGTGGACGACGCCAGTCAGTCTATGAAGACGTCGAAGTGGTACTGACAGTCGGTGAGGCGTCAAGATCACGGGCGAGGACATCAACCAGTGTACAGGATGACGGAGCTAGGATGATCTCGCAGTATGGTCACAGCGTAGTTTGCTCCAGCAGGAACCGACCACGTTTGAATGCGCACGCCTGCACGTTTGCCGTGCGCATCTGGTATCACAGGGATATCGCGCGCAATAAAATACACCATAGCTACACATGTACGAGCATATGCATTCAAACGCAACTGCGTGCGGTTCAATGAAAATCTCCGGCATGATCCGTTTATCTCGGAGAGAGTGGAAAAGCGGTACGGACATCTTCGTTTTCTTAAAAACCATAGCTTCATGTAACACGGGGTTCAGTTGTTTCCGGTTCATAACATGTTCACGGTAGTACCTCATGTGTTTGTAGATGCAAACATGCATCCACCTACACTTTAATAGGAAATAGGCTTTATCAGATCATGGGATATCCTTTTTGCGTTAGCTCATGCTTCTGGCATAACATTTCGCTTCCGTGCTTTTTGATCTGGGAAAACACCTTTGGCCATTAGCCGAAATGTTTCACCAATCGAAGCGCAAATGTTTATCGGGCGAAAAGACGACTTAAATTTGTAGGAACTGTTTAGAAATGCATTTGTCACCACGGAAGCTTTGTAACCACTAAGAGCAGTGCTTGGTGAATGGCATAGGTAGAAGAATGGTGCATTTCCAAAAAGCTGCGATATTGAGCCCGGCAATGGTTGTAGATGGCGGCTTCTCATGACGTATCGACTAAGTACACCCTCTGTCGGCCCTATCATTATCATTCTGTCAGATGTCATAACTAAAGTATGGTGAGAAGAATGACTTAACATTTCACTACGTGTTTTGTAACACAATAGCATTTACCAAAAGCACACCACCGGCAAGCAGGGACAATTTTCCAAGACCCTGGTCGCTGTGCAATTTCCGCCCGACCTTCGGTCTCGGGGAGAAATTGCGGCAGCGATGTCGGCATGGGGAGTCATCTTACTGACTCCTTTTCACAACTGTTCGCATCGCAGATCTACGTAAACGGTAACGTTTGTATGCGCAAACGTTCGTCTGCGGCAATGTTCGTTACGTTGATGTTTGTAAACGCCTGTACGTGTGCGCACATGTAAGTAATGCAGATGTTCATAAGTACCAATATTCATGTCGTCATTGTTCGTATCAGTGTATGTTCGCATCGAACATGTTCGTATTGCACATGTTTGCATCACCAATGTTCGTACACGATAACTTTTATACGGTATATATTCTCAACGCAAGCCAAAGCACATAAATTGGGTGGACAAAACTTCGTACGAAATTCGGCGAGATCAGCACGTTTAAGTGTATGGTAATGCGATAGTAACATACTGCATACATCTCGATGTAACGGTTATTGGCTATGCACGGAATCAGGTGCGGGCATTCGACTTGCGTGTGCGGAAAGGTTAGCTCGGCCTGGCATGACTTTGGTAACAGTTAAATCTTAATAACTAAATTAACACATGCTCGGCTATAGGGTCAAATCGACCCTCCCCGAAGCGTCTCTCGGAATGGTTTCTGAACGACGCGGCGTAGCCGCGCCAAATTTTCCATAACTATTGACAATTGAATAGGGCATCGTTTGGTATCAAAAATTTAGATGTACCTTGCAAGGTCATTGACCTACGGCAGGTGAGTCAGGTCATGCAGTCAGAGAAGTAAATTTGTGGGGCATCGTTTATTCTAACGCAACAATAGAGTGTTGGTGAGGCC